TAGGAAGAGTGGAAGTTTTTGAGCAGAGAATTATATTTGCAAAAAAACACTCTGGAAGATGATTTTGTTGCAATATATAAAATGGAACGAGGGGCACCTGGGTGGCTCAGTCGGTTAAGCTGCTCTTGATTTCGGCTCAGGTCACAATCTCACAGCTCGTATGAGTTTGAGCCCCATGTGGGGCTCGGTGCTAATGGTGTGGAGCCTGCTTAGGATTTCCTTCCCTCCCTCTCCCCCTCCCTCTCTGTCTCCCTCCTGCCCCCTCCCACCCCGCCCCCCCCCCCCCCCTCTGCTCTCTAAAAAAAAAAAAAATAGATTTTAAAATGGAACAAATGTGGATAGGGGAGAAAAGCTGGGAGACTACTTGGAAACTGAATTTTAAAAGCAAGGTGAGCAAGACTTGGATTAGTTACGAGAGAAAAGGAATAAAATTGAAAAACTTCACAGGAAGGGCTAACATTTTAGTAACTGGATATAGAAGAAAAACAGGGATAAAGATGGAATTCAAGGATTTGGGGTTTTTTTTAGCGTGGGTGACTAAAGGCAATCTAACACTTACTGAACATGTTAACTATTTTGCTGTCTTTGCCAGAAAGTGTTTTCTTGAGCTGTCAGCTGGTAATAGCAACTTCGATTTGATAACAGGGCATGCCTGCCTTAAATGAATAAAACCACAGGTACTCACAGTTTTCTATCATCCATCACTTTATTATTTTAGAATGAGGAAATACTAAGGTGGGCTTGAGTAGAAGGTCCTGTTCTATGTTGGCTTAAGAGGCTAGGCTGATGATTTAGTAGAGCACTGTCCATTTAAAAATACGGTGTAGTGGGGCGCCTGGGTGGCTCAGTCGGTTGAGTGCCTGACTTCAGCTCAGGTCATGATCTCACGGTTTGTGGGTTCCAGCCCCACCTTGGGCTCTGTGCTGACAGCTCAGAGCCTGGAGCCTGTTTCAGATTCTGTGTCTCCCTCTCTCTCTGCCCCTCCCCTGCTCGCAGCCTCTCTCTCTGTTCTCAAAAATGAATAAATGTATAAAAAAAAATTTTGTTTTAATACGATATAGGGGTGGTTGGGTGGCTCAGTCGGTTAAGCATCCGACTCGGTTTCGGCTCAGGTCACGATCTCACGGTTTTGTGAGTTCACGCCCCACATCGGGATATTCTTTTTCTCTCTCTCCCTCCCCCTCCCTCCCTCTCCCTCCCCCCCCTTCCCACTCGCATTGTCTCTGTCTCTCTCGAAATTAAATAAATAAATAGAACTTTTAAAAAATAAAAAGATGTAAGCCACATATATATTTTACATTACTTAGGAGCCACATGAAAGTAAAAAATGTGAAATTAGTATCAATGTGTTTTGTTTTATACACTATACCCAAAACATTCACTTTTCAATATATAGTCAATATTTAAATACCATGAATGAAATAGTTTACAATTGGGGTTCTACATTTCTGAAACCTGGCACATCTCAGTTTGGACTGGCTCCATTTCAAGTGTGAGCCATATGTGATGGATGGCTACAATAAAGGACAGTACATACTTAAAGGTATGCAGGTAGAAAAATAAAACATGCACAGGAGGTAGCAAGCAGACCAGTATAGAGCAGAATGTTCATTTCAGACAACAGTGGAAGCTATGATTGGAAAGCTAGATTATGAACTGTTGTGGAAGGTCTTTAATGCCATGCTCTAAGGAGTTGGAACTTTCTCTAAGTTAACAATTGAGTATCATTGAGGTTGTTGAGGCCTTAACTGTAACACAGTTAAAGAGTGCTAGGTATAGGGGCGCCTGGGTAGCTCAGTCAGTTAAGCGTCTGACATTGGCTCAGGTCATGATCTCACAGCTTGTGGGTTCCAGCCCCGAGTCAGGCTCTGCGCTGACAGCTCAGAACCTGGAGCCTGCTTCAGATTCTGTCTTCCTCTCTCTCTGCCCCTCCCCTGCTTGTGCTCACTCGCGTGCTCTCTCTTTCTCCCTCTCTCTCTCTCTCTCAAACCTAATAAGGTATTTTTTTAATTAAAAAAAAAAGTGCTAGGTATGTGTTACTACACATGTAAATAGCATTGGGTGTTCAAGAGGGACAGAAGCTCTCAAAATCTCCCAATGCTCTGCATCCCAGAGAATGAGTGGTGGGGCCCTGAACAAAATCAAGGGAATCCTTGTTGGGTCTGAGATCAATGTAAATAGCTATAGGGGTTAGTGGATCCTTTCAGATCCTCCACACGTTGGAGAGCTCCTTTATGCCTCTCTGAACTGGGTCAAAGAGGTTCTAGCATTAGACTGTAAATCCACTGAAGTTCCCAAATTGTAAGACTTAGTCCCACAGATTTCTTCCAGTCACTGTTCTCTTTTTTAGAGAACCTCCTAATTTAGCCAACAGTATATCAGAGTTACTGTAAATGCTACAGAGGTAATCCTCTTCACCAATTCACTTGCCAATTTACTGTAGTTCCCCTGGGTTGAGGGGGAAAAAAAGCTGATTTAATTAGCTTTCAAGTGTAAATTTGCCCAGTGCCTTACAACTTTCCAAATGCTTTCACATTTGTATTTCACATAATGATGAAAGTAATGACTACACACAAGGAAACAAGAGGCTGTGGAATGAGAATTCCAGAAAAAAAATAATTTAGGCCTAAAACCTTTAGTAGTAACTCACTAGATTCCTATGGAACAATAGAAAGAACAGAGAAATTGGCAAGAGAACAGAAGACCGAGGTTCAAGTTCCCACTCTACATTTTAATGGTTAGTAATCTTGGGCAAGTCACATCTCTAAACCTTAGTACACCCTACCTCAAATGATGATATATCATTTACAGGTCAAATGACGATACATCATTTACAGGTCAAATGTCGCATGCATATGACAGGGATTTATAAATTGAAGTGCAATAAAGTGTCTGGTCCCCCACCTACATGAAGTTGTATTTCATGAAGTTTTGACTTCATAAGAGTGGGAAAGCAATACACATTCTGTAGAAACTGCTTCAAATTGTGAACTGTGGGCCACCTGGGTGGCTCAGCTGAGCATCCGACTCTTGATTTCAGCTCAGATCACAATCCCAGGGTCGTGGGATTGAGCCCTGCATCAGGCTCTGTGCTGAATGTGGAGCCTGTTTAAAATTCTCCCTCTCTCTTCCTGTGCCCTGCTCACACACACTCTCTCTCTCTCTGTAAAGAAAAGAAAAGAAAAAAAATTTGTTTTGAATTGTGATTTGAATCTTCTCCTGGGCCAGTGATAGGGAGTATGATACTGTCGTGATGCTGGGCATGAGCAGTGAGCCACAGCTACCAGTGAGCCACATGATCACGGGTGTAAACAACCAATACTCTGACAGCCATTCTGTACTCCTACAACTATTCTGTCCTTCACTTTGAAGTATTCAATAAATTATATGGGATGTTCAACACTTTAGTATAAAATAGGCTTTGTGTTAGATTTTGCTCAACTGTAAGCCCATGTAAGTGTTCAGATCACATTTAAGATAGGCTAGGCTAAACTATGTTCGGTAGGTTGGCTGTGTTAAATCCATTTTCAACTTACAGTATTTTCTTTTTCTTTTTTTTTTAATGTTTATTTTTGAGAGAGAGAGAGAGAGGCCGAGCGTGAGAGGGGGAGAGGCAAAGAGGGAGGGA